CCACCCACCCACCCACACACCTCCAGCTTTGGGGTTTTTTTTAACTCCAAAAATTAAAGGACAGCGAACAAAAGTCACGTTACTCCTGAGTCAAAGCAGATAGTGGTGGGTTTGAGGCACCTAACCAGAATTTCTGTGCATTGACTCCATGCCTTTAATGGATTGGCCATAGTCTCCTGAGCATCCTCAGATAGCCAAGTCCTTTGTCTCTTACAAAGATGGAGCAGGAAATACCCCATCTTCAAAGCTCTTGGTGGGACAACAGGGAACAAAGCCCGAAGTCACAATGGGACTTATCGGAGATGTTCAAATATTATCAGCCTCGCTTTACAAAGGGAACGTTGACACTGTCGCATCCAGGGAAATCTGATGGTTTGCCAGGAGCAGAATGGAGGGAAGAATTGCAAATTAGCATCTCCACCCTTCTCTGGGGCTAAGGCTAAGTGGGAAGAGAGAGCAGCTTGATATGGGTCTAGGTATTTTGCCGGCAAAGGTGCTATTTTGCGATTGGTTGCTTCGAATGTTAAAGGATCCCACTGTCTCCATAACCAGAAGGCCTTTTCACAAAGATTCACCAGCTTTTCTACCCTCCCCTTTGATCATTTCAGACTGTGAGCACCGGAACACTTCTTCTCTAGTTTTTATTTTTCATGGCTCATATTTAGTGCCCTAGAAGTTGGGGATATACCATGCATCGGAGCAGAAGGGGGCATAAGCAACACAGCATGGAGAAGCCTTTTAATATTTCATCTGGCAAATGTCTTTGTTAGTGACCAGGCAGAAAATATAGTGACAGCATGATTCATACCCAGAAAGGTGCAGGTGCAAAGCCTTATGTTGCAGAACCCACATCCTGAAGGGTGCTAAAAGGGCCTACGTAGGGTAAGGCCAAATTCCACCTACAAATGTGCGCAAGTCCTGTCAAAGACACTGTATGGGCACTGTGAGTTCATCTAGGGGCAGAAGCTGGCTTGCAGTATAGGCAATACGGAGCGCTAAACGGCCAAGTCAGACGCTTAGCTTTGCCGACTACAGAAGCTTGGAGCAATGACATTCCACCACCGTGCTGAAG